GCAATGCAACAGCAGAAAATGTGAGAGGAAAAGTGAGTACGAAAAAAAAAAAAGGTGGGGAGGAGAAAAGGATAAAAGGGGGGGAAAGAAAAGGAAAAAAAAAAAAGAGGGGAGAAAAGGAAAAAAAAGGGGAAAGAGATACATAGTTAGAGATGGAAGAACCAAAGTTTACAAAACAGGATGCCACCAACTTACCACCAATATTTATATTAAAAGCAGCCACCAAGACAGATGTTTGTTTTTGGTTTTTTTTTTTTTTTAAGACAGATGATGAAAGTTTTGTATATCATCCATAATCAGAAATACATAATGCAGTAGCAAAATCCAGCAACTTATTCTGGTGTCTACATTATATAATGAGAGCCATGCAACATTACATTGGTGAACTAACCTGCAGACACGGGCAGGAAAATACAGGTTCTGCCAGGACCGACAGAGGTATTTAGAGTGATCGATGACCCGAATCCAGTCTAACTCATCCATGGACACCTCAATGTAGTAGGAATAAGACCTATGGATTGTCAAAAAACACTGGTTTGAATACAAGCAGCCACGTCTTAGGTATTACATCTTACACTTTCTTCTGGATTTTCAGTTGTGCTGAAAAGAAAGCTATTTGTTCCTACCCACAGACCTGTACCTAAGATATCTAAAAGAGAACCCTATTTTTAAACTAGCTTTGAAAATAAATTCACATGCAGTTACGTTAAGACATGTTTTCAGAATGACTTAAAACATCCTAACACTCACAATCTGCTGTAATTAGAGGAGATGATTGTCCCTCAAAAAATACAATGGAGACTTTCAATTCAGTCATAAAAATAATAATTTGTATTCCTTCTGCGTGGAATAAATCTAAACCACCAGTGATACAGTTGTTATTTCTATTGTCATATCAATAAAGAAAAAAATCCAAAAACAATTAACAGATCAAAAATGCAAGTTCAAACCCTTCACTTGAACAAAGCAAGTTTGCTTTATGATAATTTTCTCACTGATGTTGTTCTTCACTTCTGACCCTTTCAGCTGTTTCGGATACATTGTTAAGCCTGTTACTACTTACTTACACACCCCAAAATCACCTCATCAAAAATAAAATAAAAAAAAAAAAAAAAATCACCAACACAATCTGTGTCTTCCTCTTGCTTACCAATTATTTTTAGCTTATAGTTCACTGTTCGGAGCAAGCAAACCCAAACTAAAACTTAAAAGCCACAGCTATTTGCATATTATACCTACAACAGTAATACTTCGACTGAAGTCAAAACTCCACTTGTGGATCGGTAAATTGTGAAATGTACGTTTCAGAATATTTTCCTTCTCTTAATGTACTAGTCTGCAACAATCACAGGCATTTCAACAGCACCATGTTAGCACTTATCCTCTTTTCACACTGGTTTCTAAGAGTAGAGTTGCTCTTCCAAAGTTGTACATAGACATTTTCTGTTAAACTTTAATGCCTTTGTTAATGTTTCCAATTTTTTGCCAAGGACTTAGAGGGGTAGATGTCTAAAGTGATATTGTTTAAAAATTCTTAAAATGTTAGTTAACGCTGTTAAAACCAATTTACGCGCTTAGAAAGGTAATGCAGAGTCTTTAATATGTCAATTGCACAATCAGCTTTCACATTCACACCAAGCAGATGTATAACATTCACAACCCATATAAATACACGGCTCCAGCATTTTAGAGTTTGAGCAGTTTGGATCAAGAAGTTACTGACTGACTGTCCCCTGTGTGGTGAGAATTTAGGGATTCTCACATCACCATCACTAGACTAACGTAAATGTGTAACCAATATACAACATGCTATTTTTTTTGGTTTCTGAAAGTACCAAGCAAAGAAAAATTATCTCAGAAGTACAGTTCCATTATCATACACACCACTAAGCCTTTTATTTTTCTTAAGGATAGCACCTTTTTTTACAGAGGTAATTTGGACAGCTAGTCTCTTTAGCACTTTTATATCTGAGATTCATCTGTTAATAACACCTCTAAACTAGAGGTGCAAAACACACCTGGTAGTTTGTATTTGGTTCTGTTAAGAATGTACATTATCTATACAAAGATATCCAATAGACCAGAGCTTCACAGAGACAGTTAAAATGAATGACTAGTCTAAAAAGATGTTCAACAAGAAGCCACCTTGCACTTGTACAGTTGCTAAAACATCTATTTTGGAGACATTATTCATGTATCCCATGAGAAAGATGCAGATAAGTGGCTGGCAATTCTTAGACTAAAAGAGTGTATAGGTTGGAAAGGATCTCTAGAAAAAGTGAGGACAATCTTAGAGCAATTTCCTTAAGGTCCTGGCCGGTAAAGTTCTACATACCTCCAAGGACTGATATCCATAACGTCTCTGGGCAAACTCTTCCCAAGTTCAACTACCCCATTATGAATTCTTTTCCTAATATTTAATAGGAATTTATTTGTTGCTTGTGTCCACTGCTCTTTGTCCTCTCAGCACACAGCTGTAAGAGGAGTCTGGCCATGTATTCTCTATATTCTTCCATTAAATAGGCAAAGAAAGCAGTAAGGTGCCCCTTCTAAGCCCTCTCCTCTTAAAACAGCAAGTTCTCTCAGCATCTTCTCGTACACCGTGTGCTCAAGCCCTCAC